GCCGGCCATCTCGGTATTCATGGTTGTCTTGACAAGTCCAGGGTGGATGGCTACAGACGTCAGCTCAGGATGCCGACGCGCGAGCTCCGCTGCGAAGAGGATGTTTGCGAGTTTGGACTGGCCATAACGAATCCATGCGCCTAGCATCATTCGAGACATCGTGCTTCCAGCTTCCAGCTCATCGAAGGAAATGCCACCTTTGATGGCGCGATGGAACTCGTAACCGGCGGACGTGTTGCTGACGATACGGACGTCTGCACCGGGCTCTTTGGCGGTCTCGAGCAAGATGGGCATCAGCTCTCTGGTGAGCATCGCATGGCCGAGATGGTTCGTCGCGAACTGAATCTCGTACCCATCGGTACTCAAGACTGCTGGTTTCGCAATGATACCGGCGTTGTTCATCAGAATATCGAGGCGGTCATGTTTGAAGTCTTGAGCGATGGCCTCTTTGACTGTGCGAAGGGACGAAAGATCCATCTTGATGAAGCTCAGCGACGCCTTTGGGTGCTTGGCTTTGATGTCGGCGATCAGTGCATTCGCTGCAGCGGCATTGCGGCCTGTGAAGTAGATGTGCAATGGACTGTGCGCCGCCAGTGCTCGCACACTTTCTTCTCCCAATCCTGCGGTGCCTAATATGACTGTCAGAAGAATGTCAACGACGGGAAAGAAGTTCAATCACCTCCAGTCACCAAGATCACTTTTCCGGAAAGGTCTCGAATGTCCTTTGCAGGGTCGAAGTCTTTGAAGCCTTGCATGTTGAAGCTTCAGTCGCTAGGTGCGTTGATGTCGCCATCTCAGTTTTTGCAGTTGCACAGTGCCTCTTATATGCATGGCGCACTATTGCCATTTTACAATTCGGACGAAAAGGCAGGCTTGTTGTGGCGCGTCTTCAAGGTGGTGGTGGTGCTGCGACGACTATCTCCGCCGGGAAGATATGTGGCCGCAACGTGCAAAACGCCGGGATGATCGACGAAAGTGCAAAAACGCTATACCACATTCGGCCATGAGACGGAACTATGGCTGCGCCTGGGCAGCCACAAGTCTCGAAGACTGAACAAAGTCACCTATCATAATTCACGTCACGATCACTGGCCATCTAGATCGAAAGTAAGGTGTAGGATGCATTACATGAGCTGTCAAGGTGTTACCCAGTCGCGCTGGCTCATAGATCGGCCACGCTAGCACGTCCCATGTGCAGCTATGCGTGCCGTCCCGTCGCATTCGTCGCGTTCCTTTCCAAGCCGTCTCCGTCTCTCACCACCTAACCCGAGTTTGTCAGACACTCTAGCGCGTACGATAGTTCGACTGTACGCGTGATCTGGTGCAAACTGCCGCCATGGTCGCTACCCAACTCGTTGGTCGCATTAGTGGGATTACAATGGCCGCGACGCGTCGCATCCCAATACGCAACACTTTCCGGACGGTTTTCAATCTTGCCGATGAATTGGGCTGTGTAGAGGTTCTTCAGAAGCGGGCTGCGTAGAACTGGGCGTTGATGGGGTATTCACATTGGTCCAAGTACAGTTCCTGTTGCCCGGTGCGGATACGATCAAAAGCCGAGAGAAATGCGCGATCGCTTTACTACTTGGCTAGACCTTGTTGTCTGGGCTTTGGTCATGCGTCCCCTCATCCCATGCGAACTCTTTCGTCATAGTAATCCCTCTTTCTCTCCTCATACTCTGCGAGAGCTCGCTGGTGGTCACACTGCCTTCTTTGCACAGGGCAGTACCCGGGCACTCCCCATGCACAGTCGTTGTCGTGAGACACATTTCGTCTTCATCCAATCGCGATTTGCCCCACTGGCTCCGAGTGTCATTGTTAATCGTGTCTCCCAACGTATCCTTCAGGTTGATCTTGCGTGTGCGCTTCTTGGATATCGTTTCGAGAGGGTTCAGCGAGGGGCCGGATGATTCGGAGTGCTGCGATGACTTGAAGGAGGATGGCAGGCGGGTGGAGAGTGCGTTGATCACTTTCATCATGAGCGGTCGCAGGGTGGGTAAGCATCCGGAAATGATGCCGATGGAGGGTTCTACGGAGGACCATATGAAGACGTCGCTCTTTGCCCAGCTGATGTCTTTCGACTGGACGAGGTGGGTAATGGTAATGATGCGGTAGAGCGAGGCAAAGCAGACGCTGTACCTGTTAGCGAGACTCCGTAGAAGGGACTGACGTTGGGCTGCGACGTACAAGCTACCGAGTAGGAACGTGAGACAGACTGCCACCTTCTGGGTCCGTCCCATGTGAAGCTTGAGCACGCTCGCTATGGGTATCGTAAGGATGCACACATCTCCGAAAAGGTTGATGATGCCGACACCGAGATAGAACTACATCTTGGTCAGTCGCTGTTGCAGCTTGGTCTTAGAGTATTCTCACCTTTGCCTCGTCTACCTGGACCACGCCTTTATCTCCGTACCACTGGTTCCAGTAATAGTGCAGTGGTCGAGTGTAGAGCGGTAGGACGATATGGTTGGTGATAAGATAACCTGTAGTGAGAGCGATGCAGAAATAGCCAAAGTACGAGAGGCCAAATATGCGGCGGTATAGCGCCAGAATGGAGAACTTGATGATGCACACACTCCATGCGTAGATGAAGACATATGCGAATGTGATCTTACTGTGGTCAGCACTGCGATACTTGTGGGGTTCTGGAAGTCGCAACGTACTATCGTAATCTGTCGCATCTCATACGGTCCCAAGGACCATATGTGCTTTCCAAGGCCGTAGAAGCCGCCTAGTCTGGACGTTAGTATCCGTGATTAGTCTGACGGGATCGACTACTTTACCTGCAATGCAGCATGCTAGGTTGCCCGCATTCAGCGCCAGACCGAGAAACATGAGATAATCATCTAGACCCAGCGGCTCCCGCTTTACGTGCAGGCGAGTGTAGAGGCGTAAGCCCACGAAAACGAGAGAAAGGACGAAAAGTACAACGCCGATAGCATTGTTAGAAGCAGTGCGGGATTCGTTCAAGTCGAGACCCGGAGGGGGGTTTGCAAAATAATCAAACGCCATGTCAAAAGCCGGTTGTCGTCGGAATCACGCAGTTTGGTTTGCAAAGTGTCAGAGAATGGTACAACATTACTTGACGCAGAGGGTCAAGTTGTATTATCGCCGTGCAGGCTTTTGGGTCTTGCACCCCCATTCACTCGGCGGTTTTCTGTGTCACGACATGCATTTATTGCAGTGAACCCATAAGGCCGTGCAATCACATGTCCAGTCGGATGAGTTTCCCGCGTAATCGCACCGATTGTGCAACGAGTGAATGCCAGTGTTTTCGGGGAGAGTGCCGGTTTCGGTGCGAAATGGAGTCGACGCTAGCCATATCAGTATAGGCTCACCTGGCTGCGAGAACGCGTGGTGTGACGAGCCGGGTACCTGATGCGCACTAGCCCGATGACAAACGATCTTCGTGTGCAGTTGCATTGTTTGGCAATCCGGGAAGGGCTGGCAGTTGGGCAATCGGACCTTTCCACGACGCGGGAGATAACGACGTGCCGCAGCGGCCGCCGTTGTACGGTGACCGACCGGAAGCGGCGATCTTGGCAGGTAGCAAGCAACCTTAACAAAGAAATCTGGGTCCACGACAGCTCTCTTCTCCGCAGTTTCACCAGCCTGACAGTCTTGACTCAATCCATCGATTAGGAACCCCAATTATCGCACTGCAACAAGATGGCACCCAAGGAAACCAAGTTCAAGGTGGCTGCCGCCCACGCTGCGCCCGTCTTCATGGACAAAGCTGCCACCATCAAGAAGACTATCCGCCTCATCGAACAAGCTGCCAAAGATGATGTCAAGCTCTTGGTGTTCCCCGAGACCTTCATTCCTGGCTATCCTGTATGTGCATCGGCTGTTATCTCAAACTTTGTATGCTGGGGCTCAGGCTAATATTACCACAGTACTGGATCGAATGTTACCCACCCCTAAAGCAGGTCGCTGCTTTGGCCAAATACGCCGAAGAGAGCGTTGTGGTGGAGCCGAATGGGGAGGATGTGAGTGCTATCCAGGATGCCTGTCGCAGGACCGGTGTAGCCATCAATCTGGGCGTGTGCGAACGTGTCGCCAACGGCTATACACTATTTAATTCGCAAGTTATTATCGATAGCGACGGCACTATACTCGGTGTTCATCGGAAGCTCCAGCCAACCTATGTCGAGCGCATGGTGTGGGCTCAGGGCAACGGAAGTACATTGCGCAACTGGCCATTGTCGCTCGGGTACAACCTCGGAGGTCTCGCGTGTTGGGAGCATACCATGAACGGCGCGCGCCAGGCCCTCATCACACAGAACCAGCACATTCATGCGGGAGCTTGGCCGGCATTGTCCACCATGGCCGGCTTCGAAGCCGTTGCCGATGCGCAGATCGAGGCGTTGATGAAGGCCCATGCCCTCACTGCCCAAGTCTTCGTCATCACTGCTTCCAACTACGTCGACCAACAGTGCCTCGACTGGATGGAAGAGAACCTCGGAAAGCAGGACCTCGTCAAGGCTGGCGGCGGTTGGTCTTCTGTCCTCCATCCGTTCTGCTCGTACATCGCTGGTCCGCACACGGGCGGAGAGGAGAAGTTGGTGCAGGGTGAAATTGACTTCTCGCACATGGGGTCGGTAAAGGTATGGATCGATGCGGCAGGCCACTACCAGCGTCCCGAGATTCTGCAGTTCGCGTTCGATGCGCGCCCGCACTGGGCTGATGAAAAGACCGATCGCTTCAAGGTGCGTACTGATGACAAGAAGTCGGACACTGAGAGTGGTTACTCGTCTCAGAGTGAGGTGAGGTCGAACTAGAAGGATGCGGTCTTGGCAACTGTGCCGCATCGGCAGGCAGTCGCGATATGAAGTGGCGTGGCATATGTGACATGTTACTGGCTGAGCCTCGTGGAGGCTTAGCGACTCAGCCATCTTGTGCGACTTCACTCAAGCGGGGTCAGGCGCAGCTTCAGAACAACAGATATTTCCTTTCATGTCACCACCCAGTGTGCCTTGACCTCTCATTTTTATCCCACTATGTCAATCACTTTCGGTGCCGTTGGTGACATAATCTCGGTTGCTTTGTTGGCCAAAGATCTTATCGCGACGCTCGACGAGGCCCGTGGGTCCAAAGCTGAGTATCGAGCTGCAGTCCAGGCCATCAAAACCTTGAACGACACTATCAATCTAGTGAATCACCATGTTATACAACAGGGAGTCACCACACCCGAATTGCGTAATCTTTGCGAGACGTCAAAGCAAGCTGTGGCGAGATGTCGTATCCTAGGTGATGCCTTTCTAGCACGACTTCGAAGATACCAGACTACGTTCGATAAGACCCATGGTGCAAACAAGATCAAAGAGATGGCGATGGCTGTTCGCTGGCGTATTGGAGAAAAGGAGGCACTAGGGCAGTTTCATGCTGAGATACTAGGGGCTAGCTTATCGCTTCAGACATTGTTAGCGACCGCAAACTTGTGAGTGATGCGAATCGCTAGTTGAACCCCCATGCTGATATCGCATAGTTCACTTCTCAGCGTTAATCGGAAAGAGATGAACGCAAAGCTTGACGCAGCTCAGGTCGAAAGCCACGCCACCATCCTCTCACAAAATACATCACTCAACGTCCTTGCAGATGGTGTCAAGAACGCCAACAGCAGAATCGAGGCCGGCAATTCAATCTTGGCTAAAGTTTCGGAAGCACTGAAATTCGATCGGATCCGTCAGCTGGGTGCTGAGCTCAAAGGTCTGATGCGAGGTGTAATGGCGGTAAACTTCGCGACCTACCGCGCGGTCATCCGCCTAGAGTCTGCACTTCCCAGCCACTTAGAGCGAAGACTTATTGAGGACCCCGTGATTCTGGAAGACCCGATTGGTCGCATCGCGCCTGTACACCTACAGTTCATCACTTCTTGGGATGCCTTCAATGCGGTGCTCGAGGGGCGCTTTCACGATAGGGAAGGATATAAGAAGATGAAGCAACGAGAATACGGATTACAAATAAGAAAGACTGGCAAAGAGATTGAGCAGTCGCGGCCGTGGCAAAGCGCTTTTTCGCCTGGGCAGCATATTGAGATGAGCTTCGTCTTCAACCAAGATGATGTCGGCGAGAGCAGCAGTGCAATCTGTCCTGGATGCCGGACCCCATCATCACATTCCAATGATGCCGATATACAATGTACAGAATGTCAGATGTTCTTTCGCAGGATCACCGTGATACAGGACGATGAATCTCCACCCCGAAACACGCCTTCCGCTGAAGATCAGCACACTCGAGATTTTGTCCTGCAACCAGAACTTACGGAGGTCGGTAGTCGAAAACGAACTTTTTATGAGCCTGCTGAGCGCGAGGAAGAGGACTTGAGAAGCTTCAAACGAGTGCGACTCGTTTCCAAAAGAAAGCGTACTGATAGACTTGGACTCTTTCCGCCTGGAATGTCTGAGGTAGAGGCACGCAAACGGCAGAGAAATCAAAAGTTGGATGATATCATGGATTCATTTGGATCATTGAATGAACGGTTTCCAAACCTTCGAGCTCAAATAGATCAGTACCACGCCGAGGTCCGCCAGAGAGCACGCGAGCCAGAACAGAAGTATGCCGAGCAAGCCGAACTCGATCATCTTGAGCTACTTCTTATTCTTCGCCAGGAAGCTGAACTAGAAACGGATCAGTTTAGGAAGCTGAGCTTAGACAGGTCAATAGTAGATCTAAGCAGAACGAGCAATAAACAGAAAAGGTGATACCCGTATGCTCGACAAGCTTGAAGGGCTGCTACTGGGAGCTGAGGCTCGTGAAGTGGAGACTGAGGGGAAGAAGCTGGCCGAACAGATGGAGAAGGATAAACTACAACGACTCTTACGTGCTCAGGCCGAAGAGCAACGCAAGCTCCAGGCATAACATGTTCAAATTGTCAGAGCAACAAACATGCGCATCATAATTTATCGTACATATTGTGATCACTACCACTCTCTCTTACATACACCACTTCTTCACCTGCACACCCTTACACCCATCCTTCCCAAGATATCAATCATCACAAAGCGTATTGCATTCCACCCCGGGCTTCACAAACACCCTACCCTCCTGGCTCGGGTCACCGTTCGGCGTACCATACCAAGGTAAACGCCATTGGACTTCGAAGTCGTTAGCCTCGTAGCCTGTCGCACCTGTTGGGCCATGTTAGCAGGTGTTATCCATGTGTTATGGCGGATAGCGGCTGGAAAGTTGGTGATGGGGGTTGGGAAGAGACGTACGATACCCATGGCGGCAGGCGCAATAATTTGGACCAGGCGTATGGGGGTTATCGTGGCCCCATACGTAGGTGCAGGAGGTGGTGATGTCGCACTTGTTCTTGTCGGGAGTGGGGACGCATGTGTCGCAGGGGGGTTCGTAGGGTGGAGAGAGAGCGGCGGCGAGAGCGAGGAAGGAAGCGATCATGGTGACGGTACATGTCTTCATGATGGGGTCTAGCAATCTGAGTGATGCAAGTTCGATGAGAAGATGGTCGATTGAAGTGGGTGTTGGTTTATTGTATTGCTTTGCTTGATGTGGTCGCGTAACGCTGAGCGGAGTGGGACAGCATTCTTATACTCGACAGACCCTATCACATCTGTGTGGGTTCTTCTCCAGTGTCGTGCTCTACTCATGCCACTTAATCACTACCAAGACATGCATCCCGTATCAGCGTTGAACCATCGACGCCGCATCGACGCTCACGACCGAACCAATACGAAGTCTTCTCAGCTAACATAATATTCATACGTAACTCTGAGCCATCACAGTCTGACGAGACCTCGCGGTCTCGTACTGCAAGACGTCCGTAGATGCCAAGCAAAAAGTCCATGCACACGAATGAAAGCAGCGATTCCATGGCTTTCGCCGCCTCATTCAGCGCGACCAAAAGACGATCGCTAGGAAGATGCCACAGAGTAAATTTAGCAAAGATGGCTGGATTGAACATCTTGTGATAAGTTCTCATGCCATCAGGAGATCTCGTGTTGCTTCCCCGCATTCCTCAGCTTGCTGATGAGGAGAACACGAGTGTTAGCGGCTTAGGAGGAGGCACATGTGGATATCGTTCGCCAATTCGGAAGTGTAAATGCGATGAGAATAAGTGTTGCTAATTGTGTAACCGGGATATGCCAGTGCTATGCGACTCCGAAACGCCATGCCATGATGCGTATGCAGTTGATCCTCATTCTCTCATCTCTTCCCCTTCTTGAGCACCAGCCCCTTCCAGCCTTTGCTATCCTTGATCCGCCTGAGCGCTTTGCTCGCAACAGGATCCTTGGCCAAGTCATCCAAACAGGCCTTCTTCTCCTCCTCACTCTCGTGCTCATGGAACTCGCACCATTCCTTCTCCATCTTTGGCCTCTCCCCCCTCGCCAACATTGTTACCAGCTCGAACAGAAATGCTTGCGGAAGCTGGCTGCGTAAAGCTATCGTGCGCTCGTCGTCGCGGTCGGGGTTCCAGTACACGGAGTACATATCGAGGAAGTATCGGCACAGCGGTGCGTCTGGCGGTAGGCTCTCGTAGGCGGCGATGACGTTGCTGTGATCGGGCATGACTTGCAGGATCTCATCATTCGTTTGCCACGCAAGGATGACGGCGCGACGTAGCTTCGGGATGGCGTAGCGGTGTGCGAAGACGTAGAGTGATATGAATCGGCGCTCTAAGAAGCCTTCCAGCCCTCTCCACTTGTATGGTCTTGAGCAGCATGGGCACAGCGTCTCTTTGGGTATCTCGGGCTTCTCAGCTGGGTTTCGTGGAGGCGGTACGACGGCAGCCTTCTCGGGCTCAGCATCGCCAGGGACTTTCTCGGCACTGGGTGCAGGGCTGCTTGCAGCGGCAGCGTTGGCCGGCGCGGCGTCCGCTTCCGTATCGTCGGTCTCTAGAGCAATGCCCCAAGACGCAGTATCCACATCATCGCCCTCCTCCTGACCGGTGGTGCTCGAGCTGTCGCCGCCATTGACACTGACTGCATGAGTCGGAGGGTGGACCTCCTTCCCTCCCTCGATGAGATGGTGTGGTATGAAGCCTGTGTATAACCATAGCATGAACGCGTCAAACACGTCAGGGGTTGTGTCGTCGAGGTCTAGCGTAGTTCCCGACTTCTCGTAGGGCGAGTTGCTCTTCTCTTCCAAGCATGTGTTGAAGTATGGGGAGCATCGTCGGAGGAGTTCGCGGTGGCAGCTGAAAGACTCGGCGTAGTCTTTTCCGCCGACTTTGACTGTGATAATCGTCTGATCGAAGTTTCTACCTCTGGTTAGCGGTTCAGCCTTGCGAATCTGGAAGCAATGATGGTACTCACCGGAAAGTATGACCGAGCGTAGTAGCACCTTTTGAGTGCATGAAAGGCATTTTGAGTAGATAGTCAGGTTCCATTCATTGTCGCCTTACTGAGGACTCCATCGCCATTATATCTTTACTTTCCAGCCCGGGTAATACGGGGAGCTCAGTTTCAGCAGTCGTGACAGATGCATCTTGGCGTTCGACCTTGCGGCGGTTGAATGCTTGTACGAGCTTCTGTGCCCTGTTCGAAGAGGCTTAAGCGGGGTGACAATGAGCTTAATTGAAACCGACAGGCCCTAGAGAACGAGTGACGGCTGGGCTCAGCTGGGCGATCTTAGAACGAGGGAGGGGTCTTGTCGAGTCGTGCGGAAGAGGATGAGTTTGATAGCCGTTTCATGATGCTTGGCGGGGAAAGCATGCCTCAGCCGACATCTGGCTCGCACGAGATCTCCATGGCGGTGAGGTCGAGCCTGGCATCTCCTTGCGCGTGGCCTAACGTAGAGACGGGTGGTGCCGCAGGATGGCTTGGTGATGAAGTGGATGGGTTGGTTGGAGCGTGATCGAAGACGCGTCGCATCCCCGCGTCGCCTTTGTTGGCATCCGTGCACCGCTGACCCACTGCGTCATCAATCCCTTGGAACCGCGATGGCCCAACACCAAGCAAAGACAATCTACACTCTACGAATCAGACAGTCACCGAGCATATGCGAACGATGACAGCTCGTAGTGTGATGCTTACCCCGCGTCTGTACGATGTCAACCCCACTTCAACCGCAGCTATCAGAACTTGGCCGCATCTAGCTATGCGTATAACTATGCCGTTGCGGTGCGCATTCTTATCTGCAAGTCAATCCGAATCCTGAAAGGTCATCAAGCAAGAACGACTCCAGATGGCTTCCAAACTTGATACAAAGACCTACCGAGGCAATGTCATCAACAACCAGCTCGTCCCAACTCCTGAAACACGACATTCCATCAATCCAGCCACCGGCCAACCACTCTACGAAGTGCCAGTAGCCAGGAAAGAAGATCTCGATGCCGCCGTAGACGCAGCGCGCAAGGCGTTCAAATCATGGAGCTCCACCCCCTTCTCTGAGCGAGCAAATCTACTCCTCAAGTACGCCGATACGATAGAACACCACCGCGATGAGCTGGAGCAACTCCTCACCTCGGAGCAGGGCAAGCCACTATCGCTATCCCGAACCGAGATGGACTGCGGCCTAACATGGTTACGCGCCTTCGCGACTATGGAGATCAAAGACGAGATCCTACAAGAAGACGATGAAAAGACCATCTACTCAACCCATCCACCCATCGGCGTATGCGCCGGCATCGTGCCCTGGAACTGGCCTATCCTACTAGGCCTAGGCAAATTGGGCCCAGCACTCATCACAGGAAACACTTTCATCATGAAGCCATCGCCGTACACACCCTACTGCGACCTCAAGCTTAGCGAGCTGGCCATGACCGTGTTTCCTCCTGGCGTCGTGCAGGTACTCAGCGGGGATGATCGGCTTGGCCCTTGGATCACAGAGCATCCTGGTATCGACAAGATCTCATTTACAGGCTCGATAGCAACAGGCAAGCTGGTCGCAGCATCCTGTGCGAAGACACTGAAGCGGTATGTGCTGGAGCTAGGTGGTAACGACGCAGCGATTGTGTGTGAAGACGTGGATATCGATAAATGTCTGCCTAAGATCGCGACGTTGAGTTTCCTCAATTCGGGTCAGATATGCATGTTGACGAAGCGTATCTACATCCATGAGAGTATCTACGACTCTTTTCGAGATAAGATGGTTGAGTTTACGAAGGAGAACATCAAGACTGGTGCTGGGACGGAAGAAGGCGTTGTAGTAGGACCGTTGCAGAACAAGATGCAGTAAGCCATCCATCCCTTCCCATCTGTTTCTCCCACTACTCACCCTCCGTTCCTCACAAAAGCTAACAAAAGAACCCAGATTCGACAAAGTCCAAAACATGTACGCCCAAATCCCCCTCCAAAACTGGACCCCCGCCCTCGCCGGCACCATAACCCCAACCCCCCAAAACGGCTACTACATCACCCCCACCATCATCGACAACCCACCCGAAGACTCCCGCATCGTCCAAGAAGAGCCCTTCGGTCCCATCGTCCCACTCCTCAAATGGAGCAACGAAGACGACGTCATCGACCGCGCCAACGCGCTCAGAACGGGGCTTGGCGCATCGGTGTGGAGTAAAGACATCACGCGCGCGGAGGGCATGGCACGAAGGTTGGAGGCGGGGAGTGTGTGGGTAAATTCGCATTTTGATGTTGATCCAAGAGTGCCGTTTGGGGGGCATAAGGAGAGTGGGGTGGGCATGGAGTGGGGGATGGAGGGGTTGAAGCATTATACGAATAGTAGGAGTTTGTGGGTGTGGAAGAGGGTTTTTGAGTGATTCAGTGGATGTTTGCTGTTGAAGCATTTGATCTGTCTCTAGAGTGGGACCATGGTTCTCTTTTGTTGTGGCACCTCATACAAGAAAAAAACTGAACAGGTCTGCAGACTACATTGACCCAAATCTTTGCAAAGTAGGTAACCTAACGTCAACGTAGGCTCCAGGCTGTTCAGCTTTTTCCTAGGTTGGCGTGGTGGCTTAAGCTTTGCTGCCGCCCCATTCTCTCCACCATTCGTAAAGTGCGATACCACCTGCGGTTTGAACGTCTGTTGAGAACGTTAGTAAAAGGGTGCTGACGTTGGCTACAAGAATGAGACTTACTCAAACTTCTGGTAACTCCCACAGTCTTGATCTCGACATTGCGATCGATGACAGCCAGCACCTCCGCGGAAATACCTTCTTTCTCACTACCTAGCACAAGACAGCACTTCTTGGGTAGTGTACCAATATCCTGGCTTCTAGCCTCCCTCACAATCTTCTCTCCGTCCACAACATCATTCTTACCATCCTCAGTCCCCAATATGCCACTCCGATCCGTCTGCTCAATGCCCACAACCTCATACCCTTTACTCTTTGCATCTAGTAAGAACGCCGGTACGCCGACCTCCTTCAGCTCATTGATAGCAAGATGTTTCTCCGATCGCACACTCGTAGCCTTGAAGTCTTTGTGCGCGACTTTCTTAAGGTCATCGATGTAGAGGGCTTCGAGACCGAAAGATTCGGATATGCGGGAGAGACCACCGAGGTTGGTGGGATTGTCAATGAGAGAGGCGACGAGCATGACGGATGCGGGACGGGCATTTTGCATGCTGGGTGGGCCGCCAGGTGGGTGAAGGTTGTCAAGGTCAATGCCGGCTTTGGTTTGGAGGGTGATTTGGCCCGTCGGTTCTGCGGTAGTGGTGGTGGTGGGTACCGGGGCAGTTGTAGCTGGTGTAACGACGTCAAAGCTGGGGTTGATCTTGTTCCCAAGTGCTATGCGTGCAGGTGGTGGGTTGAAACCATCAGACTGATCATCACGCTCGAGAGCCTCGAAGTCTTCATGTGTGACGAGCTCTGGTTCCGGTGTCTCGATCGACAGGTATCGGCCTTGAAAGATGCCTGTAAGGGTAAAGTCCTGTTCGATATCGACCTTTAGAGTCCTTATTGTCCAGGGAGAAGCGTTGAACTTGTCCAGCCGGCGGATGAAAGCGTCCATGCCTTTGAAAGCGGGATTCTCGGTAATCCTCCTCCAACCCTTCTCAACAGCTATGTCAAACACGATGGGAAACGCAAAGTTTGCTTCGTGGCGGATCTGGACTTTGGGGCTGGCAGAGTAGGAGTTCAGGTGTGTGATCAACTCTACTGCAAAGTCTTGGGTTTCGTATGGCGCGACTAGAAGACCAATCTTGATCAGACTGGCGATATGAATCGGGCTATACTCTTCCAGATTTCCTAGCTCTATCAAGAGACGCGTAGAAAATTCCGGGAACCGACGGTAAATGCGAGCTATGGCCCATTCGAGCAGGTAGCGGTATCGTGGCCATGATTCTACCACTAAGGCACGAGTGAAATAATCGAGATGACTCTCCACCCCTATGTCAGTCGCACAGTAGTGACTCATCAATAGCATTGCCTGCAGTTGAAAAGTGTTCTTCCATGGACATTTGACTGCGACTGGTGGTTTCTGATCCCCCCAGGGTAATTCCAACTCATCCAGTATATTCTGAGCAGTCTCTGGGTATGAGCTATATGGGTCATTCGGGATACGGTGTAGGATATCTATGACAGCTGCGTATGCATGCCATTCTCGCATACCGTAGTAGGATGCATATGTTCGATGCGGCAGGTATTGCTGAAGCTTGTCGGCAGCGACAACCTCAAACAAAAACTCTGTTCCGATGGATGCTGGATTATTGATGAAATCAAGAATGTAGTCGTCGAAGGGAAGGCCTCCCCGCGTTGATCTGATCGCACTTGGGTGTGCAAACACAGCTTTGCGTAGCGATCGAGCAAGTACTGCAAGAATGTAGGACCGTCCCTTGGACAGCTTCATAAGGCGTTTCATGGCTACCGAGAGCAGAGTATTGATGTCGCACCAATTAGGGAAGTGATTCAACCCCTCCTCAACACTGACAATTATGCATGTCGGATGGAATAGTAGGGAAGGTAGTTGTATAGCAAATGGTCTGATGAAGTCGCGAATCTCAGCCTCTTCCCACAACGCTGCCAACACGGTGTGCAAGTCGTCTGGGTTGATGTCGGCTGGTTCAGTACGATCTAGGAGCTCGATCACGCTCTTACAAGCGGGCGCGAAGGCTGAACCTTGTATACAGCTATGCTTCGATTCGCGGAGGTCTTTGATGAAAGACCGAAGAGTGGGTAGCCCGCCATCTCTGGTGCCAAAGGTCGATCGAAGCGCCGACTGATCCACTGGATCTTCCAACTTTTGGCATTTGGCTCTCAGGACTTCGCTAGTTGGTACGGCTTTCGACTGTAGATCAGGATCAAGAAGATCGCAGAGCCTTTGACAGTGAATGCTGTGTAAGTCGCTTGCTACCTCAGGCAACCCAGGCAAGCGTGACAAGCTGAGGATCTCGGTAATTTCCGACATCTCCAGCTTGTGATGCGGTGGCCCTCGCGCGTATCGCGTCTCCAGGCCTTTGACGAGGCCATGCATCAGGTACAATATTGCTGGTTGGAACATTCTCCCGCCGGCGTTCAGAACGTAACGAACTATACCAAGCACGATTGCACGGCCATTCCGGTTGTCTACTCCAACTTCGGAGACGGCAAAGTCGACCGAAGGGATAAAAGATGGGCTTTCTTCTGTATCGGATACAAAGCGAGAGACGACTGCAGCAAGTGCGTCTCCATGAGCGCACGTTGTCGATGATCGTGTGGCAGTAAGAGTCGATGTGAAGAGACTACCATCCGTTGCCCAAGGTAGAAATCCCTCGAATAGGAAGTTTATGTGGCCGCTCAAGTCGCCCCGGCGCTGCCATGTCAAAGTTAGCATCGGTATACTCGGCCTCTAGTAGGCCATGGCTTTCGCCCTGAACTATTGTCTTGTTGCGTAGATGGTACAATAACGATGATAACGATATCGTCTATGACGATGAAAGACAAGTAACTTACTTCGATAACAAAGTCCATATACCAGCGGCCGATCATCTTCCTAACGCTCTCCTGTATCAGCGGGTTCAAGGCTGCGGTGAGTAGAGTTGTCGTCATGGCGGGAGTAATTCGGGAAGGATTTGTTGCTGAAGAAGAGCCAAGAAGCGTCGTCATAGATTTCAGGCAGTCCTCGACCTGGCCAGAATATCGATGAAGCACGATGGTCTCGAATAGGGTCGTATATAGATCGTACTGCTCCCGGTCCTTGCCACTAGCATCGTATCTCATCGTAGGTGTATCGATATGGTCAGAAGTGGCAAGAAAAGACTGGCGGATGATACCGAGGCAGTATTTGCGTTGATCCGCATGGCCTTTGACAAGACCTAACCTGAGCTTTCTCCAGTATTCTTCGTTGCCCACACATGTGAATTTGAGCCCAGCGGAAGCGGCGAGCGATATCCATTGGAACCAGGTCCTGTATATCTTGCTAGACCGAGCGGCGAAACATGCCATGTCGAGTGCGTCAAGACGGTTCCATATTGATTGATCAACGACTGCATCGAGATTGGTGGGTGAGTTCTCTCTCTTGCTTTTCAGCAATGAAAAGAAAGCGGACAGCGTATCATGTGCAGTATCATCTAGCCCTTCGACGCCGACAAAGCTCGAAAGGAGAGTGAGAGATTGCGAGTCGACCATGTACGAAGACGCGGCCGGTACCCAAAAGGAGCATTTCAGAAATTCGAGATAGGCTCTTGCAGTTTCGACGCTTTCCACATGTGCTTGTTCAGCCGATAGGTCCGTGGCTAGGGTGAAAAGGCTTTGCTTGATTTTGGAATTGAGAAGAGATGCGGCATGCGAGTCGTGAGTGTAGCATATCTCGGCAATCTCGTAGAGGCTCTCGGGTGACCTTTGGTCGATTAGACGGCCCAACACGGTATTCCATAATTCCTCATGTTGTGGAGTATTTCCACTCTCTCCATCGGCGATTTCGCTGGGCAAGAGTCGCACGCAGATGTCGAGTGCGCCAATGTCGATTCCTGATGCAGCTTTTACTTTCGCCAGGCTGCCACCAAACGCTACCTGTCGGGTTTGTTCGTCTAAGAGACTTAGTACTGCAGCGGTAGCCATGTCGGTTGACGGCAAATGAATCTTGCGCGGGCGTGATAGGCCTTCCTGGTAGTGCGCTCCTCAAGCGAGGTGTGGACAAGCCGTTGTAGGTATTCTGACCTTAAAGTTGACCGCTGGATGCCTGTTCTCATTAAATGAGTAGAGGTAAGCAAGTCGCGCGCGTGTGGATATTAGGTCGAGCGGAGTTCTGCTAATTGCATTGTTAGAGTTCACGTCGCAGGGTCGACACCAGTCACATTTTGCGCCCGCCTCAGATGGAAAATTTAGTCGCTACTGCGATGCACCGCCGGCCGAAACTGCGATACTGACAACATCAGTCCAACAACGTAACGAAACGAACAAGAAGCCGTGTAAGATTGCGATGGGCAATAGATCAATGTCTCGTGTCGACGAGAGAACGCGACCTGAATTGAAGCATGTTGAGTGGAAGGCGCTGGGACGAAAGCCGTCATTGGTGACTACAAGGTATCCGACTGAGAGTCCTTGATCCTTCACCGGTTGCTCATGCCAGAGCAGCACTGCATGCGCCTAGACAGCTTCACCGTCTATTGATGCCATGGACAGGTCAGCTAGCTCTTGCTTTTGGCCAGGTCGTCCTGTCGCGTCGTGTTGGGAGACGAGGGCTGCTGTGGGTACTCGTCAGTGTGTACCTGGAGACAGATCCAAGCTGATCCGACCACACAGTATCTCCCCAGCAGATCTCGGAAGCTATTAGACATCCCCTTTGGTCTGGTCGCGTCGCGCTGTGATGGCGCGCGCGTCAGTGGGGAGCTTGGCAGTGACGTGTTATCGATCGCACACGGCAACCGCGTGTTGACACGGCCCAAACAATGGCCCACGAGTCATGGGCGGGAGCGATCCGTGCTCCACCTCAACACCGCCTATGCACCTGCTGTACATTCACCGGTCGCAACAGCTCTTGGATTCTTGCTACCTCATACTAGACGGTATCTTGGACTGCAGAATGTATCCCCTACACACTACCGCCTCTGCGCCTTCCATGCGCGCTTCCGACGCATCGTATCTTCAGGCGCTCTCATCACCCGCGCCCATGAACGACGACCCCGGCAATGTCAAGGTGGTGGTGCGATGTAGGGCCTTTGTGCCGAGAGGTAGGATATCAGTACTCAATTGATACTTACAGACACTAATAAGGGCTATAGAGAAAGAGAAGGGCACGAAGTGCCTAATCCGCATGGACCCAGCCACACAAAAGACCACACTGTATGCGCCAGAAGAGAGTGGGAACAGCGGACGCCGTGTTCTGGACGACAAGGAATTCACATTCGATCGCTCATACTGGTCGCACGACGAGTCCGACCCGCACTACGCCCACCAAGAAGATGTCTACCGCTCTTTTGGTGAGGAGTTCCTCGACCACAACTTCGGAGGATACCACACATGTATTTTCGCATACGGTCAGACGGGGTCGGGAAAGAGTTACACCATGATGGGCACACCAGACAACCCAGGCTTGATCCCGCGAACTTGCGAGGAGCTGTTCGATCGCATCGCACACGAACCGTCGCCCAACACCAACTACCACGTCCAAGTCTCTTACTTCGAAGTCTACAACGAGCACGTGCGGGATCTGCTCACTCCGAGGACGACCCCGCCCATCTACCTCAAGATTCGCGAGAGTCAGAAGGATGGTGTATACGTGCAGGGTCTGACCGAGGCTGAAGTCAAGAGCTACGCTGATGTTGCGCGCTTGATGAAGATTGGCGACATGGTAGGCGCATCTCTACATACTCATCCAGCGACATACTAACAGTATTATAGAGCCGAACGACTGCCTCCACCAAGATGAACGACACCTCATCACGATCCCACGCCGTCTTCACGATCCGCCTCAAGCAAATCACCCACTCGCTTCTCTCCGATGAGACCATCGAACGCACAGCACGCATGCGCCTCGTCGATCTCGCTGGCTCCGAACGTGCCAAGTCGACCGAAGCCACCGGAGCTCGCTTGAAGGAGGGAGGACAAATCAACAAGTCTCTTACTACACTTGGTCGCGTCATTGCTGCACTGGCAGACCCAAGACGACACGGTGCGAAGGGACGACGACCACGAGAGGTTGTGCCGTACCGTGATTCAGTCTTGACCTGGCTGTTGAAAGACTCGTTGGGTGGTAACAGCAAGACAGCCATGGTTGCTTGCATTGCGCCGGCCGACTACGATGAGACTCTTTCCACCCTACGCTACGCCGACCAGGCCAAGCGCATCCGCACACGTGCCTTGGTCAACCAGGACTGCATGTCGGCTGCACAGCGAGACGCTCAGATCGCAGAGATGTCAGAACAGATCCGCAGTCTACAAGTCTGTGTCAACGCCGCCAGCCAGCGCAAGAGGGAGGAAGCCACCGAGCTAGACGAGTACCAGAGGCAGGTCGCACTCATGCAGCGCCTCATGGAGGAGAACCGTCAAGTGTCTGCTGCGAAGATCAAGGCGCTCACTTCCGAGGTCGAAGAGCTGCGTCCCACAAACGTAGCTTTGCGCGCAGAGATCGACTCGTTGCGCCGCCATCTCCAGCTCGCTCTAGGAGAGCTCAAGAACCCCATCGTCCTGCCACCGCCCCGGGAGCTTGGTACGCCAGACTTCGAGAATGAGTCATGGCTAGGCGAAGGCGAGGGTAAAGATGGATCGATCCCTGCTCCTGATGGTGAGGCCAGCGATGATGACTCTGATTCAGGCTATGATGAGGGTGACCACGATGAGTTGGCGCAGGAGTTGCACAATGAGGCGGAGGCCTTCCTCCAGGACCTGGGCATGTTCCGCAAGAAGGTCGGCAGCGATGTCGATCGCTTCGGTATCCGCGAGACACTGGCTGAGCTCATCGGAGGTCATTGAGCAGATATGTTCTGATGTTGATTATGCGACTTGGTTGGGAGGAAATCGGACTTCGAGGCGCACAGATTGGTTACGAATGCATGAGCGACGGCGTTTTCTTCAAGTTGGATTTGGCAGTACCCAAGATTAGTATACCAGTATATAGTTACCAAGAAATGAAAGATATCCCATGAGTCTCGATGAGTTCTGCGGAGACTTGACGTGAGTCGAACATGACATTACAACAGACGCTGAAGTACACTTTGCCATATCATGCCTAAAGTCACACAATGAGGAAACGAAGCGGATGTTGCCTAGATTTGTTCGCAGGCGTTGCGGCAGCCTCGGCGGGAGAGCTATGACCTCAACTCGAAGCTCCATGCAGGCACCCCAAGCCTCCGACAAGTTCGCGCGATGATACCCCGGTAGTCGCGCTCAACCATGTCCAAGCCAACAGCCAACTGGGAAAAGGTCGGCGACAAGTTCTACAGGAAGGTGCAGCTCTACCAGGCCGTCTTCGACGCGGACCTCGAGCTCGAGAACTACAATGTGGTGGGGGCGCCGTATAGCGGTGCTGTAGGTAGGTACGTCCCACCGTCTGCCGACGACTGCGCAAACATGTGACCAGTTGACTGACTTCTGTAGCTGTCTACCGCGATGAGGAGAAGCTGCATACCTACCGTGGTCCTGGCGCATCCAAATCGAGCATCGACATCTACAGCTGCGCGGGCAAGCTGATACGCAGCATCAACGTATGCAACCCTCTACACGTGCCCGGAGATGAAGGACGGAATACTGACAGGCGATAGTGGGACAAAGGCACAATAAAGGGCCTGGGATGGTCGGAAGACGAGAAGCTGCTGGTCATCACTTCCGACGGAACGGTGCGCTGCTACTACGACCTCCAAGGCGACTTCGTGCCCTTCACCCTCGGCCACGGCGCAGACGAATACGGTGTGTTATCCTGCAAATTCTACAACACCGGCTTCGTAGCGCTTCTCGGGAACAACCATCTCATCTCAGTCACCTCGTACGCCGAACCACGCCCCAAACTCCTCGCGATACCGCCGACCGAACCCGTCATATCATGGAGCATCATACCACCTGCCTACTCGCTCTCGCGGTCGGTGGAAGTCATACTAGCGATTGGATCTACACTGTACGTTGTCGATGCGACTGAGGCGGAAGATCGCAACTTCGATGCCGGTCCGTTCAGGCACATCAGCGTCAGTCCGCGTGCAGAGTTTCTGGCCTTCTACACAGAGGATGGAAAGGTGTGGGTTGTCAGCGGCGACTGGAACGACAAGCTCAGCGAGTACGACAGCAAGATCAAGACAGTGCCGAAAGACATGGAATGGTGCGGCTCGAACGCCGTCGCGTTAGCCTGGGAAGACGAAGTACACCTGATCGGCCCTCGAAGTGCCGCGACCAAGTTCTACTACGACACCTGGGTGCATCTCTTGCCGGACGTCGATGGCATACGGCTCCTCACGAACGACGTCTGCGAATTCATACAAAAGGTGCCGGATGAGGCGGTGGATGTCTTCAGGCTGGGCTCCGACTCGCCTGCTGCAAATCTGTTGGAAGCGTCTTCGCTCCTAGAACAGAAGAGCCCCAAGGCCGACGACCTCATACAGCTGATACGACCGAGTCTGGGCGAGGCGGTGGACACATGCATCAAGGCCGCTGCGCATGAGTACAACATCCATTGGCAAAAGTCGCTGCTGAAAGCGGCTTCGTACGGAAAGTCAGTGCTGGACCTGTACTCGTCTGACGACTTTGTCGACACGTGCGACACACTACGAGTTCTGAACGCTGTGCGCTTCTATGAGGTTGGCCTACCGCTAAGTTACGACCAGTATCGCCGCATGACGCCTGAGAAGCTCGTTGAGCGTCTCACGAACCGCAGCGAATACCTTCTTGCTTTGCGCATAGCCGAGTATCTGCATCTGCCAGCAAACCAGATCCACGGACACTGGGCCCAGCAAAAGGTGCGCGTCTCGACGGACCCAGAAGAGGAGATTTGCAGTCTTATAGTCAAGAAACTGCATGGCAAGCCTGGTGTCTCATTCGAAGAGATCGCACGGGCGGCCTACGATGAAGGTCGCGTGCGACTGGCGACGGAGCTTCTCAATTACGAACCCAGAGCTGGCAAGCAAGTACCGCTA